AACTCCCAGAATTCCCTTGCTGGCTGGGGAATTCTGGAAGTTGAAGTCCCCCGTCTTAAAGTTGCCAAGGTTGAGGAACCCTGCAATAAGGAACATTTCTATCAGTCAGCATTTCCAGGCACCTTGGGGTCTAACCCCATTTTCCATTGCCTGGTGGCACCGACTCTCCTCGATGTGGTTTTCTGGGAGTTGAAGTCCACACATCTTAGAGCTGCCAAGGATGAGAAACACTGCTCAAGGTCGATATAACTCTTACAACTCTTTGGGATGAGATTTCCAGACAGCGGTGGACACTCAGCAGCTTATGGGACATTCCTCTTCCCTGGTGGAGAAGGCCCCCCTCTCCAGACTGCTGCTGTTTGTTCAGGGGATGCCAAGAACTTAAAAAGGGAGAATGTAACAGATCCCATAACTAGGCAATGCCTGTTAACAGCACAAACTGGACATCTAACACTCTCTCATTTTTGCTAACCCACATCAGACAACAGAATCCCACGGCTGCAACCGGAGGGCTGGGGGTTGGCTGTGTATGGCCCATGCGGTTCTCACCGTTGTTTTAGGCGGTTGCCCCATGCTGCGGGGGGACAGGCAGGACAGGGCACTCTCAGGACTGCCCTCCATGCACCCTTGCAGACCCCTCCAACCCCAGCCAGGAGGGAGCCTTTGGGAAGAGATGTGTCTTACCCAAGCCACGCTGTGTGGGGATGCTCCCTTGGGGAGCAACACTTTGACTATATCCAAATTGTTGTGGTGGACGGCAACGTGCAGAGGCGTCAGGCCGTTCTGGAGAGGAGGCAGAAAAAAGGCAGATGAGTGGCAGGGCCCACCGAGGGCAGGGGCACCTCCCACCCACCGCAAGGCCAGGCCCGTATACCCACCTTCCCTGCCGCGTTGGGCTGGCTGTTGTGCTGTAGCAGAACCTCAGCAACATCTACTTTCCCGTATTTGGAAGCAACGTGGAGAGGGGTAAATCCTTTCTGGGGAGAAAGAGGGAGTGTCAGCAGCTGGGGGCACAGGGAGGCCCCTTCTCTGGGCAGCCTCACTCTGGCCCAGACCTCTCTGCTCACCCAGGGACCCCCAACCGCAGCCTCTGCCTTCCAGGAAGAAGTGAAAAGCCGAAACAAAAATGCAGTGGTGGGAAAACAAGGAACAGAGCCCAAGCAGCCTTTCAAAAATCTTCATTCAGGTGGCCAGCAGGGAAACTGGGTGCACAGTTTCCCCAAAGTCTGTCAGGGATGGAGAATGTCCCCCACTATTTTGCAGGGCAGGGCTCTCCCTTGGCAGGGCACAGGGCGGACCTTTGGCCCCACTGTAAGTTAACAAGCAAGTCAATTCTTTTTCACTAAATTGAATGAGAACTGGTTTAGAAGATCTCTGAGCAGAACTTCAGCAATTAAAGGAATAAGCACAATTTCTCCTGTAATAAGAAGGGGAAGGTGATAAATGGATGAAGAAGGTAAAGGGGAAGGAAGAGGAAGAGGAAAGGAGGAAGGAAGGAAGGAAGGAAGGAAGGAAGGAAGGAAGGAAGGAAGGAAGGA